AATGAAGATGACCTGAGAATACGTGCCTAGCGCCGGCATGGAACAAACGAGGCAACCAATGATGCCGTACTTTTAAAGGCAGATTGAAGTATCCGGGTTCCTCATCAAAACGGTTTAAGTAGAATGGAATGTGCTAGTCATGAAAATAAAATATAATTGGTGAAGATACGAAAATCAAATATTCGGATAAATATTTCGGTCGCCGTATTTCGATCCCACTTTTAAAAGTAATTAGTACCCCTTTGTCTCCAGCCTAAGGAAGTAGACTATATGTATCCCATGACACCTGCTTCCGATGAAAGAGTCCATTCAATAAGCAAAATCATGGCTTGAGGAACAGGTAGACTTAAAATTAACGAAATAAAAGACCATCATAATCGGCAAGAATGCGTTTGAAGGATGTTGAATACAGCTCTTATATAAGATATAATGGTAATCTCAAAAGCCTGCCAATAAACTGAAAATGTGGTTATATCCACATGTATCAAGAATACACAATTTATTTTTTTGCTATTCTAATAATTGATGATGCATTTAGTTTTGGAGTATGATTTTTCCAAGTCACATACCATAAGTGCCTTATTCTCACGGAGATACTTATTTGCATTAGTAGGAGCAAAAATATCTGCGTTTTAATTTATGTTGTTCCTTCGGAAGGCATAAAATTTCTAGGTCAGTGAAATTGGAAGTATATATAAGGAATTGAATGTTCGAAAAATATGCAGCGCATGAATGAAACTATTCACAATTTTATAAAGGATGAGAACCTGTTTAACACAAACTCCCAATTACTAAGAGTAACAACTATGCAATAAAGAAATTTACCTGAAAAATGATCAATCGACCTGGCTGCTTTGTTGATCTTTCTAGCTGTGATTCAAGCCAGGATTCTTGCAGTGCAGTAAATTCAGCAACTTCCTTAGCCTCCTCAACCCAAAGTTGCGTATTCAATACAAGAAATGTAAACCCAGACTGCTGAAATGCAAAATAATCATCCCCCCAAGCCTCTTTGTAAGCGGCGAGAGAGAGCTTTGTCGGAGCATCACAAACGTCGTGGTTGCCCGGCAGAACAATAGTAGGTATTGAATTAGAAAATTGAGAAATTGCGCTTTTTAGGTCTGCTATCTGAGCTACCCGGTAGGCTGGATCGCCATCGTCCATTATCATGGATTCTAGGCGGCTCGGCTGGGAATCAACTAAGTCGCCTGTGATAATGACAGATAGCGGGCGCGGTTTTACATATCCAGTCGCCAAGGAAAGAATGCGCTGAAATTGAGCCAACTCAGCGGACCAACCATAAGGTTTAGGTCGATGCTCAATGTAGCGCTCGAGAAGACCGAATTGGGGATCAGCCAGTTGAACCAAAATCAGTTCGGGAACTTCATTTGAGAGAGACAGAGAAGGAAGGCTTATAGCATGGTCACCCGCACGGAATAAGGATTGTCCGAGAGGCATGTCTGCTTCCGTTAAGTTCATGAGAAAGGTGGATTAAAGGAAGTAAAAACACGCTAGTGTGCCAATGAACCATATCGCCTAAATATGAATAATTTAACTAAGCTATGTAAATTCAAGTGTTCTGATCAAAATAAAATTTACTTCATAAAACCACCTCTATGGACTAAGGCGTAAATTCAAGAATGAAAAATAAAATTCAGACAGGTCCAACCACGAATCTTAGCGTGCAGAAGTGACTTTAAAAAATCGCAACCAAATATCCAACATAAAAATAAATTAAAATTAAAATTAGACAAAATTATTTAAAATTTGCTTAATTTCAACATTTTTATTTAATTAGTTTAATTGTAACTTTTGTTAGTTAAAATGCAAAAATTAATTACTACCAATAAGTTTTGTGTCCTGCCCTAGTAAGGCCACATGACTTTAAGTTTGGCTACAAGCATCAGACTGCGGAGTTATACGTTTAGTTTGTAAACAAAGATGCTATAGTATTCCATGATACAGAATCGTTACTTTCCTACAACTAACCTTGCCAGCCTGACCAATTCTGTGCTCACCATGCCCACTTATGAAACTAACAGTTCAGGGCAATTAGAGTATGTGGTTCGAGTAGATGTCAAAGGCTTTCCTTCAAATTCCGTCCGCGTCAGTGTAAAGGATCATGTAGTCAGGGTTGAAGCCTGCACCGAAGAGAAGAATTATGATGGCTCTACAGCACTGCATGAATTCAAACGAGAAATTCACTTACCAGCGAACGTGGACACAAGCACTTTGCAATCTGTTTATAATTCTGATGGAACCCTTGTTTTGAAAGCAGCAGCAAAAGTGCCTCCGAACGCCAGTTTCACAAATTTGACCTCCAATTTCACTACAAACCTTACATCTGATGGCCTACAGGGACGGCCCCTACGTTCAAGTCTATCAACCAGCATATCAACTACTTCATCATTAGGACGTTACCCCTCCCAGCCATCAGGTATAAATAGAACAGGGTCAAGTCCAGCTAATACGAACGGGTATTTGGAGAATGGGGATAAAATTATCTTTGCTCGTTCACCATCTACCAGTAACCTAAATAAGGATGTTATTACTTCTGAACCTAGACGAATGAGAATTGAGTATGACTTGGACACCAATCTTCAGTGTGGAGATAGGGTAAGATTCGCGCCTAGTTCTTATGAATCTCAAATAAATGATCAGACATCAAGCAGCCTAAATAGCCGAATATTAAAATCTGCTTTAAAACCAAGGACATTTACTTCTAATTTAAACTCATCTTATCAG